TAACTCTCTTCTCATGTGCTGTGAGTTGGTTTCCTGTAGGTTGTTCAACTATGGCATTGGCATACACTTGCTGCAATGCAACTCCGAGGAGGGAATGCCGAAGAAGAAGGCAGTCATCAACCCCAAGGAGGACCACATCTCCTTCCAGTGCTCCAACATGCAGGCCTTGAAGCGGAAGCTGGAAAGGACGGGAGTGGAGTACGTGACGGCGGTGGTGGAGGAAGGCAGCGTCCAGGTGAGGCAGCTCTTCTTCCACGACCCCGACGGGCACATGATCGAGATCTGCAACTGCGAGGACCTCCCGGTGCTCCCCCTCTCGTCGTGCCCGGTCAAGCTCAAGCTCCCTTCGCCGATGCCGCCGCCGCCGGCAGCAGATCCTTCTTCCCTAATTTCTTCGACCATCTCATTCAACGCAGACGAGGAGTCTCCCAACGCCCGGTGTGCTGTGAAGGCTGAGGCCGTGATCCTTGAGAACTTGTTTGCAGACACGATGCCCATCTCTTTCTGAGGATAGCTGATTCAGTGTGCTTACTGTTAAGGATATATATATATACATATATATATATATATATATACATATATATATATATATATATATACATTATATTGAATATTATAAAGGGTGTCATATCTCTTCGCTGATTCCACTTCTTTAATTTGTTGGCTTTCTATTATTTTGGTGGTGCACATTTTTGGTTTGGAGAATGATGTCAATGAGATGACATGAAGTATTTTTCTCCTCTCTTCCTCTTCGACGTGTGAGCTCATCAAGTGATGCAAGCACGAACTTAGAACTGATGTGAGTCGAGATAGTATTATCTTTCATCGTAGTCTTCTTCTGTTATTGTTTAGGTTTCTGATAAGTGACTTATCATTCGACTATAGAATTTGGATTCAATTTTGTTTTCAAACCATAAAGTAAATTGTATACATCACTACCAAACAAACATATTAGGTGTACAATTTTACCGAATAGGATCCCAAACTCATACTAAATTAGGTGAATAAGATATGCCGTCGTCAAGCTAATATATTATTAGTTTTAATGTATGTAATTGTTAATTAGATAAGATTTAAGATCCAATGAAGCATGCATTTATTAGCTTAAGAAAAACTATAATTTTATTGATTTTTAAAATATAGTGTATATTATCATAAGTGTTTTTAAGAAATATGAATGATATGTTTGAATACCTATACATTTTTTATGGGTGTTTTCAATTATTCTACATTTAAAATATAAATATATACGAAGATAAGAAGTATATCGTTGATTAATTATCATTTGATATGTATTCTACACGTGATGCTTAGACCGAAAGAAGACAAAAATTATCTCTTACTAGTCTATTCACGTGCACATAAGTAGACAATTATAGATTGTCTTTATCCTTATTGTCTATATAGATAAAAGATTAAATTGATAATATTACTGTTAAAAATTATCCCTCTCGAAAAATATTTTATCCCTTTTTTACCAGTATAAAAGTTTACTTTTAACATAATTACGAAGAGATCACTTTTTACCATGGTTACCACATACATATTGTAGCTTTTCATACCCACATGTCACTATATGACATCTCAAACGCCTTAACGTGTCACACTTTTCTGACTATGTTAAGAGGCCAAGCATGAGAATGGTACGCTCACCTAAAGTTACTTTCCATTTGCTCTTTCACCCAGCTGGCAAAAGTATTTGAACTTCACTTCCTTGGAAACATACTGTTATAGACTTAGTTGGAGTTGTCTAAATCGTGAGGCATCCTTGTGTTATCTATCTACAAATGATCAATCTTGTTGCAACCTCACTTAGGTCCCGAAAGATCTATAAAAGAATAAATTGATTAGTTTTAAAAATGAACGATAAACAAATCTCGATGTCTCATAAAGTAAATAACTTAATAAGCAATTTAGCAAATACCTAGTATGTAGGAGAAAAGGAAAAAAAAGGACTTTATAAGACAAACGAATAGTCACAAGTCTACAAACGAAGGAAGAGGTGCCTAAGGTATGTTGGTTAGGAAAACCCAACCTACCTAAAAAGACATGAAGGTCGAGGCTAACCTAAGGTGGGTAGGTCAACGTTGAGCTCCCCCTTTGCCCATGGTTAAGGGGTCAAGCGTTGACCCCCTCTTCGCCTAAGGTGATTAGGTCGAGTGTCGACCTTCCCCTTTGCCGAGGTGGGTAAGTTGAGCATTGACTTCACCCTTTGCCAAAGATAGAGAGGTCAAACACCGAACCCCTCTTTGCTCGAGGTGGGTAGGTTGAGTGTCGACCTCCCTCTCTTCTCCATCCAAGGTGGAGGGGTTGGGAGTCGGCCCCCTCTTCGCCCGAGGTGGGTAGGTTGGACGTCAGTCTTGCCCTTTGTCTAAGGTGGAGAGGTCAAGCATCGACCCCCTTTATGCCTAAGGTAGGTAGGTCGAGCACCTTAACCCCCTCACTACTTAAGGTAAGGAGGATGAGCTCTCTGGTTTCCTTTTTAGGCATGCTCAAAATACATTGGTTGGGCACTCTTACTCCCTCTTAGAGAAGCAATCAAGAGAGTGTAAAGCCAATGTGTCAAATGGGCCTGATGTCATGCTTTAGGAACCTCACCAAAGAGCCCCCGAAGTATGTCTTCGAGGGGGAGGGGGACAAATGAAAGAGGAGATATTATCGACGAATCACCATTCGACTTGTGTCCTCCGTGTGATGTCTAGGCTAGAAGAATAAGACAAAAGCTACCTCTCACTTATCTACGCATGTAAATATTAGTCTAAAATAGATAGTTATAAGCTCTCTCCACTCTTATTATCTATGTAGATAAAAAGTCAAATTGAGGTTATTAAAGACTATCCCTCTCGAAGAATATTTCATAGAATATTATGTTTCTTTAATATCAGATATAAAAGCTCACTTTTAATAAAATTACCATGGGTTACCATACTTATATCAGGATACTAACTTGGGTGTCGGAAAGATCGAATCGAAAAATCTTTCTTGATCTTGATCTTTATACAGGATGAACTCGATGTTTCTATTTCGGAGGTACCTCGATCATGCTTTGTATGTTCTTATATATACGAACAAAAATCATAGGATTGAATACGACATTAATAATATCTTTCAATAACAAAAGTTACACTTTAATGATTCCATTAGTATCTTTTCTTGCGGTCAACAAGTGAGTGAAAGTTGAAAAGAGAAGGAAAGGCAAACATGTGCTCCAAAGTTGCCAAAGATGATGATGTAGTTTAGTCTTCCAAAGAATTCCCAATCAAAGTTGGCAACTCCTTTCCGTCATCCATGAGAAAATTTTGATTCAAATTAGTCATGACTAATATATATTATTCAAAAATTTAAATTTATTAAATCATAAGTCAGACCCAATGTATATAATTTGATTTTTTTCATTTTTAGTAATAAGAGATTTTTCTTAATACTCGCACATAATTATTTTCATAGATTTATCATCTTCCTTTTATTCATGAGGATATATCAAATTATAGTTTGATCTATTACTTAGCTTATTAAATAGAGGTCATCTAGTTTGTCCTTTTTTTCATTTATTATCTCACATTTTATCCATTTGGTTTAATACTACTCTTGACTCTAATGTTAATCATAATAATACTAATCGAAATAACAATATGATTGTATAACAACAATAAGTCATAATAATATGATTGTATTACTCTAATCGAAATAAGTGATGTAAAATACAGAATAATTTCTACAATTTGGTAGCATACTCTTTGAAGCACTACAATTTAGTGTTATTGGCATTACTAGTAGACTTCCAATCTCCAAGAGAGAGAAAAAAACAAGTCCATGACACTACAACACTTTGAGAAGTCAAATCTCATGAAGTTAATTTTGGTTGTTAGAGAAGAAAAAAAAAGATCAGAGATTGAAGTAGAGAGAGAAAGTATCTTATAATTTAGTTTTCTTCCAAGATAACAAGAAGTAAGCTTGAGCTTATATATGATTGGTTGGATAGGAATCCTAACTTAAAAGAACAATTCTTTAATCTTTACTTTTATCAAAACAATAATAATGACATAATTACGATGAAAATGATACAATGTGTTAATATTAATGCACAAATGTAATAAAAATAATATCGATGTCGATAGAACAAAGACGATTACGATGACAATGATAATGATATTTAACCAACATTAGTGGCTATAGTAGCATTAATATAAATATGATAACAAAGATAAAACATCAAAAGGACGATTAGAACATATTAAAAACTCTTAAAAATGAAAAAAAAATAAATATCAAAAGGATTTGTCATAAACAAATATTTTCTAATCAATTTAGTGCTAAAGATTTCTGATAATGTGAAATATAAAGAAGATCGATAGTGTATGTTCACTCAGTTCATAAAAGAGTTTAAATTCTTCTAGAATTGAGATCGTGAATCTTTCTCATTTTCAATTAAATTTAGATGATAGCCATCAATATAATAATAAACAAGACTTCAGATCTTTCACACCATCATGTCACATAAGAATAGAAATTGACTGCATTATTCCAAGTTCTAAATAAGAAGAAACAAAAAAAATAAATGCACATTGAGAGACAATCCAAGAATCCAAAGATAATAGGAAGAATTGGAGAAGGAAAAATTGGAAGTCTCTCATAGGACAAACTAACCAAGAAAATAAGGAGGAAAAGACAAGAAAAGGGAGAAGATTTTCCAAGCGTTTAGGATCAACAAACCATTGCGGCCATCCAAATCCAATGGCTAAGAATCAAAGCATAATTTGCATAATACATATAGTTCTTGGGAATATTATCGTTGACTTTACACCAATTTATGAACACAAGTTTGCGGGTCAAAGCTTCCAATCGGCACAGTCGATTCCGACCCGTCCATTTGGCCTTTGGAATTGATCAGGCCGTCCATCACGGATCGCACAAATCTCAAAACATAGACTTCTCAAATCAGCACCGTTCATGTACGAGTCCCAGGTTTGGGGGATTCCCCTTTCTCTCTCTCTCTCTCTCTCTCTCTCTCTCTCTCTCTCTCTCGGCAGAATCTGAATCTTCAGCCTCACAACTTGATCCCATCTATTATATATGGTGTCTTCTTTTCTTCTCGAAGCAGAGAAAGAAAAGAGAAGGAGGGCTTCTTCTCCTCCATTTCTCTCCTCTGTAGACTTTGTTGCAGGGACTGTAGCGAGTGGCAGCTGGTACAGTTTGCAGCCATGTCGGTGCCGGTGGCGTACCAGGGGAACACGTCGGCGGCCGTGGCCGACTGGCTCAACAAAGGCGACAACGCATGGCAGATGATATCCGCCACGCTGGTCGGCATGCAGAGCATGCCGGGGCTGGTCATCCTCTACGGGAGCATCGTGAAGAAGAAGTGGGCGGTGAACTCGGCCTTCATGGCGCTCTACGCCTTCGCCGCCGTCTGGATCTGTTGGGTCACATGGGCCTACAACATGTCGTTCGGAGACAAGCTGCTGCCCTTCTGGGGAAAGGCCAAGCCGGCGCTGGGCCAGAAGTTCCTCATCAAGCAGGCGGAGCTGCCGGCCACCACCCACTACTACCACGACGGCAACGTGGAGACGGGCATGGCCACGCCATATTACCCCATGGCCTCCATGGTCTACTTCCAGTGCGTCTTCGCGGCCATCACCCTCATCCTCCTCGCCGGCTCCCTCCTCGGCCGCATGAACATCAAGGCGTGGATGCTCTTCGTCCCCCTCTGGCTCACCTTCTCCTACACCATCGGCGCCTTCTCCCTCTGGGGCGGCGGCTTCCTCTACCACTGGGGCGTCATCGACTACTCCGGCGGCTACGTCATCCATCTCTCCTCCGGCATCGCCGGCTTCACCGCCGCCTACTGGGTTCGTCCTCCCCACTACCTAATTGAATCTTACGTGGTGAAAGTGTTAGCGCCGGCTGATCCAAGTTCATCAGGTCGGGCCGCGGTCCACCAAGGACAGGGAGAGGTTTCCGCCCAACAACGTGCTGCTGATGCTGACGGGAGCCGGGCTGCTGTGGATGGGGTGGGCGGGGTTCAACGGCGGCGACCCCTACTCCGCCAACATCGACTCCTCCCTGGCGGTGCTCAACACTAACATCTGCGCCGCCACCAGCCTCCTGGTGTGGACGTGCCTCGACGTCATCTTCTTCAAGAAGCCGTCCGTGATCGGAGCCGTCCAAGGAATGATCACCGGCCTCGTCTGCATCACTCCCGGTGCAGGTATGCATATCACACGACCAACTCCAATCTCAAACACCCCACCTTCTCATGCATCAATCAACTCCTTTCGAACAAGATCACATAAAACAACTTCATCAGATTCAGGAGTGTGAATGGTCCGTAGAACCTGCAACTGGCCGCCGTCAAGATTGACGGGAATCACGCTCCAGTGATTCCTCAGACTTTTGTGGATCATTAAATCGACTCTTTTGACTTTTGTGCATCATTTCCGAATGATGTCATTTCACATTTGTGTCTCTTTTTTCTTTAATGCCTTCAATATTTATCTCCCCCCTCCTAATGAAACAGTTCTCACAGATCAACACTGGAATGAGTTCAACTTGAAAATGGGATCAGACTATATTACTGCACAGACCAGTCAAAATTCTTTTTATTATTCGGAGAGAAGAGAGATCATCATGAAATCACCCATTCAATTTTCTACCCCAACCATGAATTCTTTGGGCAATAACACTTGCCAGCTGTTGCCATGTCCTGTAGTCAAAATTACTGCTTCAAACAAGAATAAATAGTATTCAGCAATTGAAGTAGAAATGTTTTCTGGAAATTTTCAGACCAAAGTAGGAGCTTCTGATTCCACAATGACTGCTGAGAGATCATAAGAAACATATGATTCACTCAAAAAGTTTTGATGCAGTTTGGACCACAAGCACTTGATATGACAATCCAATGAAAGCTCAACTATGATATGCATTCACTGCTTACTGTAACTTTGTCCTTTACAGTCGTAGTATAAGGTTGAATCTGACCATTGCTTACGGCAGGGAAGAAGACCAGCCTTTGCTTCTTCTGCATGCACAATATAAAACTGGATTAGATCTCGAGTGCTTGATCTTGATCTTATTTTTTGTTCCCTGGATGATTCACGATACTCTTGTGAAAGAAGTCATCTTCACTGGTGATTTCCTTTGGACTTTTCAAAGTTGGAGAAAGATTTCCAGAAGATATAAAACCGCCCACAGCAGCCATCGCTTTTCATGGTTGACGTGAGTCTCGGGGAAATGCTTTAGTGTTAATGCATCATCGCCAGCATCTTCTCAGTTGTCTGATGCAGCTGTTTCCGACTGCTTTCCTCCCTTCTGAAACATCCAATCGGAGTGCATAGAAGTGGAAGATGGTTTCAAAAGGCTGGCTTGATTGGGATGTCTTACTGTACCAGTAAAGGGAGATATCATCCTCATCAGTAGCAGAATTCATTGAATTGTCTGCCACCATCATGATTACATCTTCCTGCTTCAGCTTCTTTGAACCACCAATTACCTCTTTAACTCTGCATGAAAAGTCTGAGAACATTTGAGCATTAGTTACTTACCTGTTCTTTGGATTAGCAGAGAAATGGATCTCAAAAGCTCTGTTATTACTCAGGTTTGGTGCAGGGATGGGCCGCCATAGTGATGGGTGTGCTGTCGGGCAGCATCCCCTGGTTCACCATGATGATCGTGCACAAGCGCTCCCGCCTCCTGCAGCAGGTGGACGACACCCTGGGCGTCTTCCACACCCACGCCGTCGCCGGCTTCCTGGGTGGCGCGACCACCGGCCTGTTGGCGGAGCCCACCCTGTGCGCCCTCTTCCTCCCCGTCACCAACTCGCGGGGCGGCTTCTACGGCGGCGTCGGGGGCGTGCAATTCCTCAAGCAGCTCGTGGGCGCGCTGTTCGTCGTGGGGTGGAACATCGTCGCCACCACCATCATCTGCCTCGTCATACGGCTGGTGATGCCGCTGCGCATGTCGGAGGAGCAGCTCACCATCGGCGACGACGCGGTGCACGGCGAGGAGGCCTACGCGCTGTGGGGCGACGGGGAGAAGTACGATTCCACCCGGCACGGCTGGTACTCGGACGAGACGCAGCACAACGCGGTGGCCACCGGTGTCACCCTCAACGTTTAGGAGGCGAAAGCAAAGTGTGGAGGAGCGTGCAAGTGTTCGAGTTGGGTATTGTCTGCGCTACTTATCTTTTGGTGTGATCATTATTGGATTATGGAAAGGAATGGTTAGGGGATTGATAGGATAATTGTAAGTGTTACTTTGTATACTAGTTTGGATTATTTAGCTATTACTTAAAAAAATTATTTATGAGAAAAACAATAATATACTATTGCTAAAATAAGTGGGCATAAAATATTCATCTAATAATGGTAATTAGGCAAGTCAACATGTCAAAAATAAGAAACACTATCAACATCTGGCAAAACAAGCTGGAGAATGAGCATGCATACTACATTTTTTTGTGACATAAAAGCAATGTACTTCCTGTGAATCACCAAGAAGAACATGGTAGTTTGCTCAATGGTACAAGAACAAGAGGGACACATCAATTTGCTGACCAATTCTCACCACAAATAAAATACAAATGAGGAAAATAATCTAGCCAGTAGCACTGTTTTTGGGGAAAAGTTCTTCGGAGGAACTGATTTTGGATTGTTTATAGCTTGGTTTTTCTTTCACCTTTTCGTTCTTAAAAGGATTTTAATTTTGAATAATATTATCTGATATTTTTTAATTTTAAATAATACTGTCCGTACCGGGTGATAAGTAGATTGACGCACGAATCATCCACTATCAGATGGTACCATCGATCGGGATCATTTCTGTCTCGTTATCATGATCAAGGGAGAACGGTGGTATTAATCGAGGAAAGAAAGGAAAGAGAGAATAAAAAGAAAACCTAGAGTTCGGCATTGCTCTCTCTCATCGTCTGTCGATGACTTCTCTCGACATAAGGAGAAGAATATTCGGTGTTGCGGGGAGAAGAGAGGCGACGTTGCAAGCAAAAAAAAAAAACAACGTTGCTTCGTTGAAACCATTTTTTTTTACTTTTATATATATCAAGAATTTTAATTTTAAATAATACTATTCTTATGTACCAGTTTGGCAGTAGATCGATACACGAACCATCCACCACCGGATGATATTATCGATTGGGGTTGTTTTCGTCCCATTATCATGATCGAGGGAGAAAGATAAGATTAATCGAAGGAAGAAAGAAATTAGAGAAGAAGAGGAAAACCTGAAGATCGACGTCGCTCTCCCTTCTCGTTTGTCGATGACTTCTCTCGATGCAAGGAGAAGAATCTTTGGTGTCGTGAACAGAAAAAAAAATGAAAATAATTTTTTTTACATATATATATATATATATATATATATATATATATATATATATATATATATATATATATATATATATATATATATATAATTGTGAGAGATTGAGACTATCTTTGTATGAGATTGAGACCACCAGAGGTCTACTCAAGGTAGGTAGTCCAAAGGAAGCATCAAAATCTGAGACTAAACTATGTTTTTCAAGGCGAAAAGACAAGACTGTTTCTTCTAATAAAAAAAAATTCAACTTTTAGGGCACCAATCCGTAGAAGAAATCGAGGCGGCGAAAGAAAGGAAGGAATCGATCGAGAAACAAAACACAAATTCGTTTAAACCCAACCTAGATCTTTCCGAAAGCAGATCCAAGTTGTTCCGATTACACCAGATCGATTCTATTCCGCTTTACACAAATCGATCTGCCCAAATCCCAATCTCCAGAAAAATACATCTGCGAGAGAGATAGAGAGAGATAAAGAGAGGGATAATGTTGCTGATGGCTGAGGCGGCGAGATTGTCGATGAGCAGACGTGATCGAGTCTCCCTTCCACTGCAGACAGCCGACGCATAGTCCAACGCCAAGGCGAACAAGCAAGCAAACTGTGCTCTGTGATTGGTGTAAGAAGCGGGCCCCGCATGAGCAGCCCCGCTGGGTCGGCCGTTTTTTATTCCAATAATTAAGGAGGGTAGTAAACTCGGTTGAAGACAAAAAAACACGTGTCCGTAATGCTTAATAGGCTGCTACCAAACTTTGTAACGTAGTTTAGTATTCCGTTATATATACATATGAAACCGTTACGATGGCCGTTATTTCGGGATGTATATTAGAAATGCTCTCGGCACTGTTACCGGGGTTGGTGCGAAGAAGACGAGGACTACTTGCTCGTGTTTGGTGGTGTTGGTTGGTGGCGGCAGACAGAAGAGAGGAATCGAGTTGCTATATTAATACATCAGCCACCCCGGCTGCCCTGGAAAGGCTCTCTCAGCTACCCATCAATGGAGGCCTCTCTCTCCTTCCGCCGCCCCTCCTCCTCCCCTTCTTCATTCTTCTCCCGATCCCCTAATCCCCTCCGGTCTCTTCCGGACTTGGATGCGCCAAAGATCCTGTCTTTTCCGATGTAGGTTTGGGTTTCCTCCAGATCCCCTTCTTTTCGAGACCTTTGAGTTGGTTTTGACGGAAGGTCTGCGCGACAGGTCGTGGAGCAGGAAAAGGTGCCATATTTCGGCCGAGATGGGGGTGAAGTCGGGCCTCTCTCCGGATTCGACGACGCCCGTCGATCTCTCGGTGAGTCCCAGGGTGAGCTCGCTCAAGCCGTCGAAGACCATGGCCATCACCGACCAGGCCACCGCCCTCGTGCAGGCTGGTGTGCCCGTCATCAGGTTGGCTGCTGGAGAACCTGATTTCGATACCCCGGCTGCGATTGCGGAGGTGAATCTCTTCGATCTATGCGGTATCTAGGCTTTGATTAGATAAAGGTCGAATCTTTCTTGAACTTCCATATACTGAGGCTTTTGTGATTGTTGGGTGGTTGTGAAGGCTGGGATTAATGCAATTCGAGAAGGTTATACGAGGTATACTCCCAATGCTGGGACTCTGGAGCTCAGAAAGGCAATTTGTCATAAGCTTGAAGGTCAGTTATCAGGAATTTTTGGTGATGTTTGTTATGTTTAAGGCTGCAAAGAAATTGATTCTTGATGTTTTTCAACCGCAGTCGAGAATGGTTTGTCCTACACACCTGACCAGATTTTGGTTAGCAATGGGGCCAAACAGTGTAGTTTGCAAGCTGTGGTTGCAGTTTGTTCTCCAGGGGATGAGGTGAAAATCATCCTTGCTGTTTACTGATAATTTTGATAATTGCAATTGTAATCGCTATTTCATCTTATTTGGTTTTTCTTTGCTCTCATAGTTGTTTCTTTACTTGAATTGTACAGAACAATACATGTTACTGATGCACTTTGGATTATTAGTTTGTATGTGTTACCAAGTGATTTTTTTGTACAATATGGCTTATAACCCTGCCATTTATTATTAGCAATAAATTGTTCCATATGTCAAGAAGAAGTGAATATGATCAGTAGGATACAAAATCACGTGAATGGAAAAGCAAACTTTGGTTACTTGCTGAGATTGATTGGTTCATGTTTCTCTTGATAACTATAACAAATTACCACCTACCATGTGATACATGGCTTTTCTCTTTAGGTTATTAGAGTATTTAACTACTGATATTGCCCTAAACAGTGCTCAATGGTGTGAAACAATCTCTCTAGCTGATCCCAAGTATTTGGGACAATGCGCCTGGTTGTATTGGAGCATCTTACTAAGTTTGTCACTGTTTCCTTCATGATTAAAGTTTCTATATGGAACATTTTCTACCATGCTTGGCATCTCACAAGAAAATACACTAATTTCTTTGTTCAGGTTTTAATTCCAGCACCGTACTGGGTCAGCTACCCTGAGATGGCTAGGTTGGCTGATGCAACTCCAGTAATTCTTTCAACAAACATATCAGACGACTTCCTACTAAATCCAGACTTTCTTGCTTCAAAGATCAATGAGAAATCAAGGCTGCTTATACTTTGTTCTCCATCCAATCCTACTGGTTCTGTTTATCCAAAGAAACTGCTTGAGGAGATAGCTGACATAGTGAGGAAACATCCAAGGCTTTTGGTGAGGTTTCCATAAATGAAATCTAGCTGTGAATTTATAATAAATTAATAACAAATTCTTATGAGTTCAATTTATTGACCACCTTGGATACTTCTGTTTGTCTCTCAGGTTTTATCTGATGAAATATATGAACATATCATTTATCCACCAGCCAAACACACAAGCTTTGCTTCACTGCCCGGAATGTGGGAAAGAACCTTCACCGTGAATGGGTTTTCTAAGGTAGTTGGTTTTTATGTGTATTTTTTTGGTCTTATGAATCAAAAGGATTGTCTTGGCAAAGATATGGAATCTAGTGCCAGAAATTCAATCTTTGTTGCTGCACAATTAGTCACATTGATCATGGCTACAAGAAACATAGTAGTTCTTCATTATATTTCTGTCATCCGTCGGACAGTTTATCATTTGATTGGTTTTGAGTTGAATTACCTAAACAATTTACAATCTCTTGGTTGAACCATCATTTTGCTATTTAGGACATTATCAATGACAAGGCTTTGAATCTGATGGTTGCATGTTTTCTAGGCTTTTGCAATGACTGGTTGGCGACTTGGGTACCTTGCCTGCCCTAAACACTTCTTAACAGCTTGTGGAAAGATTCAGAGCCAGGTAAATTATCTCTTCCTTGACAATATTCAGAGGTCTCATTAATGGATCTTTGATCTAAGATGGCATACATATACAGTAGTTATTTGTTAGTTCTTCTGTTGTCTTTATATCTTTATCTAGCTTTGTCTTCCATTCAAAACCACTGGATGATAAGCAAAACTTGCCTTTCCTGCTTAAAGTCGCTAAAAGAAGAGAAATATGTCAATATCCGGATGAAGTTCGTGAAAGGGAAATATTATATGTTGCATACATGGTATGTAATTTCGGATAGTACCGGTCCGACGGCATACCGTTACGCGGACCGTTTGCTATCGGACGGAACGTGCTACAGTGCTACAGTAAGAGAAAAAATATTTAAAACCACTCGGTACGCCTTGATGTACCGCTCGGTACACGGTACCATACCGTACCGAGCCAACCTCGAAATACCGGTACGGTACGGTATTGCATACCTTGGTTACATACATAGGTATAAATTGCAAAAAGGGATTTAAAGTTCCCTCCAAGATATAATCCAAACACCCTTAGATATTCTTCATACCAATGAGTGCCAATTTTGAATCTTCTAATTCTAACAAGGAATGCAAATAGGGCATGATCTAACATGATCTTTTCTTTTATGAAATGAAATGTACCCACTATCTATTCAAAAAACTGGGCAGCTAGTCGATCACCTGCATTACAAAAACCATTTGAGCCTTTACCTCTACAGAAGTTTGTGATCCTGCAAGTTGTCATATTAGCTTCTGTAGGAATATATCTTGCAAATAGAAAATTGCTCTAACAGATTCTAGTTGGCATGAGGCAATTGCCCAAAGAAACAACAATGCAGAAGGGGATATTTAGTTCATTGAATCATGTAATGAAAATTTAATGAATTTTAGTATGGAGTATTTATTTATATCAAAATATTGGGCTAAGGTGTCAAAGATATGTGTAATATAACTGCTATCATTAGTATATTGTGAGCTTTACAGTCATGGCATAGAGTGCCCCTTTATCATCTGTACTAATACATATCTGCAAGGACCCAATAGTCAATTAATTTGGCTGGCATGATGCCAACTGCAGATCATGCAGTTTATAATAACTGGCCATGGCTTACACAGTTATAACTAGCATTCCGAATCCCTAGTAAAGTTTGCTGATAGAGGAAGCTGGTTCTAGAATGGTTTGGCACACTTGTAAATTGACATTCAGAATCTGATAGTTTATTTGTTAAAAAAAGGAGCTTTTCCATATTAATCTGTCATTAATTTTCATAGTCAGATTAACAAAAATATATAATTTAAAAAAGTTGTTCTTATAGTTTACCATGAGAGATTTTTATCTTTGTTCTTTCCTATGATTGATTACATATAATCCAGTTAGAATTGGTTTTTCTCTTGCCTCTTGTTTCATTATCTTTACATGTCTAAACAATTCCAATGAGTCTGTACCTGCTGCAGTCTACCTCTGGTGCAAGCAGCATATCCCAGAAAGCTGGACTTGCAGCTTTAGGTTTGGGCTATGCTGGTGGCGAAGCAGTCTCGGTCATGGTGAAGGCATTCCAGGAAAGACGAGATTTCTTAATCGAAAGCTTTAAAGAATTGGAGGGTGTCAAGATATCAGAGCCCCAGGTAAACAATATTTTGTTATTCATACATTTATATCCATTTTTATTAGCTTACACACCAATATTCTTCAACAACAGGGTGCTTTCTATCTGTTCATCGACTTCAGTTCCTACTACGGTTCTGAGGTTGAAGGATTTGGCACTATCAAAGACTCTGAATCCCTTTGCCGGTTCTTCTTGGACAAGGGCCAGGTGAGATCAGCAAGCCATAACGTGGTTTCTGGACCCTGAATAAGCATAAGCTTTACACATTTAAAACAAATGTCTGGATTAACATAATTGATGTCTTGTTGGCAGGTTGCACTTGTTCCGGGAGATGCATTTGGAGATGATAAATGCATTCGGATCTCATATGCTGCATCTCTATCAACCTTGCAAGAAGCAATGAAGAAAATAAAAGAAGCCATTGGTCTCCTTAGAGCACCTGCTGCTGTCTAATTGTTGTGAGATTCTTTCCTCGAAAAATTAGTACAAGAATTTGTACTAGTCCCCAAGTGCATCTGACATTACTGCTGTTGTATTAGTGTATGCTTTGCTCATAAAACCAAAAATATTTTGCAAAACATCTGAAGGACAAATAGTCCATTCTTGGAATTTACGTCTTTCAAGAAGTAATAAACTTGGTTCAATTACTGGTTCATGATATCTCCAGTTTGTTGTGTTGATTGCAGCTTACAAGGTGTAGAATTATCTGAGAAAATGCTTGAACATATTGGTATTAGTTTATTGCCTTGTTGGCTATTTGGATTTGGATAGGATGAAAGTTGTGAATATTCTATTCGTTGTAATTCTATTATTAGATGATAATGATAACGAATTGGGTTCTTCAGGTAGACATCATCTTGATGTAGGTTTATCATTTATGGATCCTTGAAATGAGTTTGGGATGGTCTTCAGAAAGGAAAATAAGTACTCTATAGTTTCATCATAGAAATCCATCATATTTGTTGCTAGTTGTGCCAACATTAATACTTGTTGCTAGTTGTTACAGCAAGTCTACCCCTAATGTTACTGCTTCAGGAGAATGACTTCCAACACCACCATCAACAGGCAGATGGTCTCTCTGGGTGACAGATTCTATTTAGAAACAGGCTAATTTGGAGGTGCCATGAAGAGCAACATTTATCAGATCTTTGAGTAATGACAACCACAAACAACTTCTGCTGAGTAAATCATGAAATTTCTTAAACAGATTTATCTCTGTTCATGCTGTTACTACAGAGTAATTAGTTTGAAGCACAAAACAACACGGCGATAAGTGGCACATACAATGCTTGAGAACAGGCTTTTCTTGAGAAGAAGGCAGGTCAGAGACCAAACCAATATTATTAATAAGTCAAAGAATTACAAAGAGAAAAAAAGTTAAAACAAAAAATACAGCAGAATATAAGAAACTACAGAAACAGAAGTTGCAGCAGACTCTTCCTTTATGTTTGTGAAAGTCCATCTACAATTAGCATCTGCAATGCTCGGAACAAACTAAATCTTGCATCTGTATTCAGAACTGATCCAGATAACATCAGACTGATTTGTATTCAGATGATCGACAAGAGTTTCTTCTTTGATACAAAAATGTTTGTGATGATCTTGGATAAACATTCTCACCTTGACAAGAATGATATTATTGATGGTGGCTATCTTGTAGAGAACGACACCTTTGATCAAAAAGGATGAAACTCGACGAAATCGTCACAGAATTTGTGATACAAAAAAGTTTGTGACGATCTTGGATAAACGAACTCACCTTGTAACAAGAATGAGATTTATTGATGTTGGATATCTTCTTGAGACCGACACCTTTGATCAAAAAGGATGAAACTCGACGAAATTGCCACAGAATTTGTATTGGATTATAGGATCATGTCCAGTGAAATCTCCGGGCAGGTCCATGAGGCTGATCTCTTTATTAGAGGCTTCATGGCTTTGTCCTCTTCAAGAGAGACCATCCCAAGATGAGATGGGTCTTCCAGCATCATCTTCGATACCAAATAACCTGCAATGGACCATGTCTGAAACTTCCTTGCCTGCTTGCCGATGTATCTTCCTAGCTTACCATCATAGTATTCTGGCCAACTGTCTTTTAACAGTCTGCTCTCTGCAAGCTCTATTGCTCGTCGTGCAATCTGGGGTCGACCGGTCTTTATACAGGCTGCAGTGAGCAGCCACAGAAGCACTGCAAGTGTAGCAGAAAATAAGAAAGTAGCTTGAAGAATTGTTGAAATATAAAGCATTAAATTTATACAATCAACTAAATGCTGATGGCCATGCAAATGAACAACTAGTAGCAAAATAACTAGAAGAAACAAATTTGATGAAGTTCAAGGAAAATAGCATGGATCAATGGTGGACAAAATTTTTCTGCTACCTACTTGACCTTTGAGATATGCCAAAAGATGAAAGAATCATGGGTTGTCTGTTACTTGAACTTACCTGGCCAAGATCCTCCATTGTGGTAACTCCATCTGGTGTTCTTGGGGTCACAGCCAGTAACTATCCGCCACTCATGGCTCTCTATGGCAGGATAAGTAACCTTGAGAGGCATTTCTCCAACCAGCTCTTCCCAACGTTCTTCAATGAGATCCATCACAGCCATGGATTGCTCAGGGGTAGCAAGAGATGACAAAATAGCAACACAGTTACCCAACGCAAACCAACGGAAGTCCATCCTTGCAGGGCTGACATTTCCGATGAAGTAACCACCTCGAGTAGGCATGAAATCAAACACCCAATCTGGAATTGAATCAGGAATCACATTGAACTTGTTCACAGCTGTGTGAGAGTATTCCTCGGTTTTGTAGCGATAAATGTCATTTAGTTGCTGGAAATCAAGCCAAAAGTAGGTTCTCATGTGATAACTTAGAGCATGCAAACGTTTCACTATTCGCTCTACAAATTCCTTTCCCTCTGAATCATGTTTGAGCATTGTCAGAGCACACCTCAATGCCATAAAGAAAAGAGCTTGGATTTCGATAGGATAACCATATATACCCTGAGAAGCCGATGTAGATATGTAAATGAGATGAACCAATTAATAATACAATCACTAAAATTTTAAAGCTAAATTTTTGCAGATGCAAATGGCAATTATAATAGTAACCAGGCAAGTAACAAGCAAGTACATGGGGATTTTTATGCACACTAATGAATGATAGAGTAGGCCTAGAGTTTGGTTAGCATTGTTCGCTAAAATTCTACTTGGCATGTCAATTTGTGGCTTTGGTCATGACATGAATTAGCAACCCTGAATGGTCAAATTTCTCTATAATTTATTTTTAGCAAAAGTATATGTCTTGGGTCTGGTTCTAGAATCACTTATGCATTCATTATTTACTGAAAGATTATTCATAAACATGAAACCCTTCACCCCCATCCCCCCACAAAATCACACACATGTTCAATTACATGTGAATTCATCACAAAATTATCCTAGCAGTTAGCCCTGCTTACATGTTCAATTTCATTTCCCATTTCACATTCCAGGGCTATTACTCTTGGAAGTTCCATTGGTAAAGCATAAGGCTAAACTAATTGGCACTGCCAAGGTACTGAATTTTCCTAATTTAGCTGAGTTAAAACAATTAAGCGTCGATCAAAATGAAAGCAACAAAAGCAATAAACTTGTAGGTGTTTTTTTTTTTTGTAATTTTGGGACAATGGCGCGTCTGTTCATCTATATCCTGAGAAGTAAAACAGTTCAACTAGATATGCCACTGCAACTGGAAGAAAAATGTCTATGATCTTACCATTCTTCGATCGATCATCGAGCAGCCATCAGCACAGAGCAAGGTTGGAAATGTATCAAAGCCCTCGGACAGACATAAAGTTAGTATAAGCCTTATTCCCTTTTGGCATTCAGGTGATTCTGCAAGAGATGAATCCCCAGTTGACTTCGTATAAGCACGCAGAAGAATAATCCACCAGAACCCAGAGTCAACAGGTGCAACTCTTCCAATTGCGCTCTCACCAAAATCTGCAACCAGTGTGTCGGTTTTCCTAACAGGATCATGCAGCACCTTGAAGCTTGCCGGCATCACACCTTCCCCAAGCTTGAAACGGTCTATCCTCTTTTCCCACCCTTGAAGGTACAGAGTCTTCAAAAGGAAGTTCTTAACCATCTCTGGTTCCCCATTCATCAGAAAAGCCAGTGCACTTGGTACAAAATCGCGAACAAATACCTATGTGAAGATAAATCTCATCAATATAAGTAATGATCTCAGAAAAAGGAATCTACTCTTTAACATCGTTGTTATACAGCAAAGACCTCAGTATACTCCTCAAAGTAGTAACATCAATGCTTTCACAAACAAAGTTGCAACCAGACACCACACCACTAAGAACTACATGTTCATCAAGCGTTCAAGACATTACAGAAAGCACGAGAAATTTCACTAATTTAAGCGCAAAAAATATTTTTCCTCTACCAATACTTTCAATTCCCAGAGAAGACAAAGTAGCAACCTATTAAATATGAACAAATCATGAGCAAAATAAAGACATTTACATATGAGAAGTATAGATTCCAGCAAAAATTACCTGGTCATAGTTGAGGACTTCCTCCGATGCGTGATCATAAGCAGCAATCGTGCCGACGGGCTCCCCCTTGAAATACACTATCGACCTTCTTAGGGCCTCCCAAGCCTCCGCAATGATCGGATGCGGCTCGAACGGGTTCCGAGCCGTGGAGGCCGGTGTGCTGAATCCAGACCTCATGCCTCCGGGAGAGTACAAACTGTCGAAGCTCTCGAGGCCTCTGACATTGATGGAGAGCTCGTTCATCGACCTCTCATCGCACGACCTCTGCCGCTCAATGGGGAGCTTCGGCCTGTCGGGCAGCCGCGACAGGTCAAGATCATCGCCGTCCGCCATCGAGGAGTACGATCCCACCTTCCGCATCCCCGGTTCCTTGAACCCGTTCATCCTTCCAGTACCGGATGCTCACGATCTGCACCACCAAAAGTGCCAATTTTTACCAGAAAATCCAGCTCTGACGACAAATATGATCTGAATTTTTCGCAGAAATGATGCAGTTCTCGAAATTAGGGATGTACAAACAGTAGTAGTATAAGAAGAAGAAGAAGAAGGGAAACGAGAATCCGCACAAAGAAGAGCTCAGGACGAGATTGCGGTCAAAAGCAGGAAAGCCTCCATCTTTACAGAAGAAATCAAACACGAAAAGAAGAAGAAAAGTCGATCTTTTGTTGGCTCTGATCCAACCGACCGTGACACCAGAAAGCAAGCGGGATGAACGCGACAGTTGAAGACGAAAAGAAGAGGCAAAGAAGATGCAGATAGAAAATTTACCAAGGGAGCGTGTAGGCGACGAACCCTAGAGATCTGGAGCGGATCGGAGGGGGCAGGGGAACGGTGGAGGGAGCTGGCGGCGAGCGGCAGAGAGAGAGACAGAGAGAGAGAGAGAGAGGATGCGAAGCATCTCAACTCCCGCGACTGGGTTTGTGCCTTTAACGGCCGTGATGGCTTCCGTGTTACCGGTCGGGTCAGTTACTCCACCTAGTGCCCGGGAGAAGCCGGTCAGCGCACGTGAGAACATACCATAATTTTATATCACCACTAATGAATAAATTATTAAGTAATATTATTAAACAATATTAAATTAATTTCATAATTTTTTTTCCTCATGTATTGACATGGATAAGGAGATGTATATTATCGATGTCTCGTAGTAAAATATGAAATTTATCGGGATGATTTTTCTAGAAATATTTATTCATATTTTAGATTTTTTTAAATAAAATATTTAATTTAAAAATACTTAAAATATACCTCAAAGGTTTTCTCATCAAAATTTTTACTTGTTTTTTGTAATAAATTTTAATTCTAACCACAGTATTTTTCATTTGGCTCGTTTATAATATTTGTCCATTAGCATTTAATATACTAGAAATATTATAAATAATATTATATCATATTTTTTAATTGTTATTACTTATAGACTATTGTAACATTATATTTTTAGGTTCATGATTGGTTTGATTAAGTTCAAAAATCTATTTAGATCATTTATAATATTTTTTAATATATTTTATGATGTTCATGACCAAAATACCATAACAAATAAAAAATATGATGACAAACAAAAACATATAACAGACGAAAGAATTTTTATTTTTAAATTAAAGATATTATTTGAGAAAAAAATAAGAGATATTAATTGAAAAATATTTAAAATAATATTTGTTTTGGAAATATCTTAGCGGGCCGGCCGGGAGGAGAGAGAAGGGGAGGGACTCATTCGACGGCTCTCGTGAGTCGTCATCGATGGTGATATCGGTGTCCGTGAAGTGGGCTGTCTTCTTGTGGTGGCGGGTGGGGGATGCTCTCCACAAAATAATTGCCCTCTCTCTCTCTCTCTCTCTCTCTCTTCTT